ACGCGACATACAGCTTCGAAACAAGACGATTGTGATTAAGAAAGGAGGGACTTAAAGAACATACTGTCTTAAGAAAAAACGCGATAACTGGAAAGTAATCACTACTTGAAAATTGATAATTGGATAGATAATATTTTAAAGACATTGAAATGTTTTATACGTGAACATTCCAGTACTATATTACATCCATTTGACGTAGAATAATCAATGGTAAAAAAGTAAAGTAACAGAAAGTACCTGTACAGTATCTTAATGCCATGATCAACCTTTAAAGTGTCTCAGTTAGTATTCTTTGTGCCTTAGCTAGTTGGCTCAAAACAAAATTAAGAAACTTTGTGCCCAATTGAGCGGCACATACAAAATATTGATATACAGAAGAGAAATAAACTTGTCTTTTTCTTCAAAACAAGGATATCAAAAAAAATGTGGATATGCTGGACATAATGAATAATTGGATATTCTTTTCTGATTAAATTCAGATTAGGACAATGGTAACGTAAATGACACGAAAATATTTTACTTATTTAAAATCACTACTTGTAATTAATGTGCAAATGAATTTTCATTATAAGTCTATATCAAGTAAGGTATTTGTTAAAAAACTAAAAGATTCCAAAATGTATTGAGAAAAAAAAACATTCTTTTGAATATAATGAGTATTTTGGTCACATAAAAGTAGCAGATGTCAATCAAAATGCTAATATCATTCATCACAAATAGGTCATATATAAACATGTGTCATGCAAAATATCTTTAAAGCATAAAGTTCAGAGTTTCCTGACTGAAATTTGTATTACAATGTTTTTAATGGTTGTTAAACACATATCAAAATTACGTTTATTACAATAAGAGCACCGCTAAGCAGAGCATTATATGTCCGAAAGTGTTTCTTTTCTTTTTTAAGTAATTTAAAGGATGAAGCATTTGTAAGACATGATAATAAAATATAGTATTACCACCTTCAAATAACAATCATCCTATGAAGTTTTAATGTTGTGGGCCAAATGGAACTAAAGTTATTCTCCGGACACTGTTTTAAGTTTTAAATTAATAGTGACCTTGACCTCTGACCTTGTGACTCCAAATCAATAGGGGTGTTCTACCCAATATAAACAATCATCATATGAAGTTTGAACACTGTGGGCCAAATGGAACTTAAGTTATGTTCCGGAAACTGTTTTCAGTTTTAAGGTAATAATGACCTTGACCTTTGACCTTGTAACCCCAAAATCAATAGGGGTCTTCTACCCAATATGGACAATCATCCTTGAAGTTTTAAAAAGTATTCGAATTCCTGATGAACTCTTTTTTTACATATGAAAACACTCAATTATGATTGTAGTAATTTAAAATATATCTGTTAAATAACAATTATTGGTTTTCTACATTTAATAAATCCAAAGGAAACCTCTAATATAAATGAATACAAATTGTGCCCTTTGATTACTTTAATATCGGAGGAATAAAAAGTATACATCCATATATCTATTCATGGTAAAAATGTCTAGCAATAATTCTTAAATGGTTTTTGTCCACTTTTCATTATATCCTTGAAAGTTGACAAATATTAAACAAAACACTGTTAAATATATAGCCATTATAATTTATTATTGAAAAAGCAAATGTACAATAAAACATTATTAACACAATTTCATCACGACTGTTAGGTAACATTTGTCATTTTTGGTATTTAATAAATGTCCTATCTAAGCTAAAACTAGTTACTTAACAGGTAAAATTATGTACATTAAAGAGAAAAGGGGCCAATGACATAAAATATTTTATCTGAGTATAAAATCTTATTTATGTATTGCCCAGGTCAAGTAAAATATAACTTACTAGACGGACTTTTTTGGTATTAAAGAAAACGCAACACACTGATTGAACGAAATAGGGCATTTATTATATGCCATTAATGACAAATGTTGCAAAGTTACAAACAAACATGGAATGTACATATTGTTTTCCAAATATAAATATTACCAACTTGCCGCCGTTCAAAGAAACTTGGCTTGTTCAAGATTGATACAGAAAGACTGTTCAAAACATAGTATACTTGAAAAATCATAAATAACTATATCTATGTTAATGATAACGTTTTTAACAGCAACATAGCCTATTAAATCATATCCTGTAAAAATGTTTAGTCAATATGATATATCTAGTGATAACATTATTATATACGAATAATCCATGTCTAACATTATCATGGAAACCTTCTGGTTCTTTCAATTTATGCACTGCAGCCTAGAACTGTCAGACACATATATAACAGAATATGATATTGTAAATCAGCAAAGGGGTTATGTATAGCGAGATGGTATATTGTAAAACATGCAATGCAGAAAACCTATGTTATCAAGATTATTTACACAATAGAAACTTAACCCTACACTGGAACTATTACAAAAAAGGACAACTACAACAACAAAAGGAAAAGAAGAAAGAAGAAAAAAATACAAAAAAATAACAAAACATTTCATGACAATTGAAATATGAAACAATTTTACGACATCAATTTTTTTGGTAGTAATGACTTTAGTTAAATTTTGTAGTCCACTCAATAAAGTTCATGTTAATGATATTTTTGGCTAGTCAACTGTTGCAGTTGTTAATGGTGGCATTCTTGGAATCCGTAAAAATAGTCATTTACTCTGTTTAGTTTAGATATATAAATTTCTCGCATATGCACAATTACAAAAAAAAACATATGCAATGATAAGAAAATCAAAACATATTTTCAAAGAGAGCATGGGAATTGTAGATCATAATATACTTATAAATAATAAACGTGCGGAGCAACGTACATTTTTTTTTTACAAATACTTGTTCACTTTTAAAAACTTCCGACATTGCTTTTACCTAAATTTATGGTATTTTTTGTACAATATGTGTTTCGCTTTTTCATCCAAATCCGCATGTTATTTGATTCATCTTGAAAAAAAAACATAAAAAAAACTGACAAATTCATTTTTAAATGACAAAGAGAAATATCTGTAATTGTAGTGCTGAAAAAAATTACAATAGCACTCGGATAGATAAAAAGATATATACACGTATAACTATTTAGATATTTTTCTTTATGGTTGGACATAATGAATCCAAATATAGATATGTACAGGCATACATATTGGCATATAAATACAATGAAGCAATCTATAACATTCAATAGGAAAATATTTAGATAAAGATACTTTTGAACAATTTTAATTCAATCAACTAATGAAATAGAAGCACTTTATATCTTATTGAAACAAATAGACAATCTTTTGTTTCCAGAATGACATGTGAGGAGAAATAATTTGGATGTTTAGGTCTAATAAGAAAATGATGTTACATACTACATTAAAATTATTATAAAATAATATGCTCATTTTTGGATAAAAGCTTAAATTACATAATTGTGTTTTTTTATTATCTAGGAAATTTGCACTGAACATGTTTTATATGAATAAAAACTAATGTATGGGAAGATGAATTCCTTATTACTGGTCAAGTTAATTATGCACTTTCTACATAAAACTGTAAGTATTTTAATTGCACTTTGGATTAATATAGTGTTACCTATACCGTATTGATTTTGAACGTAACATCTTTTCATTGCGTACTCATACTATTTAAATTATGAACATGTGGCAGAGAAATAATTTTGACAATAGGTTTAGTTAAGTAAATTGATGTAACGTACATGTTTACATTAATTTAGGGTATAATTTTATAATTTTGTGTTTCTCTTTCCCTTCCATATCCGCATGTTATTTGATTACTGTTGTGAAAAAATTGACAAATGATTCGTTTTCAAATAACAAATCAAAGCAAATTTCAATTCAGTGTATCTGTAATTGTAGTGCAGAAAATTACAAAAGCCCTCGGATAAATAAAAGGATATATACACACATTATAGTTAAGATATTCTTCTTTATAGTTGGAAATAAGAAGAATTTTTCTTTATGGTTGGGAATGATAAGGATTAAATAGAAATACAAAGATATATGTATAAAACAGGCTATAATATTGGCATACAAATACAATGAAGCAACCTATAACATCCAATAGGAAACTATCTAGATAAAGTTACCTTTGCACTCTATTTAATTAATTTTCATAAGATGCATGAATTAGAAGCTCATTAATCAAATTGAATTTGTGTGAAGAGAATAGGCTAGATAAGTAAATGATTCAGCATACTACATTAAAATTATTATTAGATACCATGCTCATTTTTATGTAGAGTGCTTTAATTGTAGATGTTTTTAAACTAGGAAATTTGCACAGAGCATGTTTTATTTGAATAAGAAAATACACAAGCTATGTATGGAAAGATGATTCCCTGTTACTTGTCAAGTTAATTTTGCCCTTTCTTAATAAGATTGTTAGGATTTTACTCGTAAGTATACTTTGTAATCATACAGCGTTTACCTATAGTGAGTAAATTTTAAACGTAACATCTTCTCTGTGTGTACTCAAAAGATGAAAGATTTTTTTTTATTTAAAAACAAATTATATAGCAATAATTAGCATTGTCAAATATCCAATTTAACGAAATGTTTCATTAAAGACCTATTAAGCTCCTAAAATGCTATTTTATCTTTATTGTTCATTGTCGTTTTCCTTGTTTCAGTTTAAAAAATACAAAAAGCAACAACAAACAAAAAGAAAGAAAAAAAAACAACAAAAAACCTCTAATTAGCCATTTAGATAAACCATCTTAAGCTTCTTCCGCTCTTTGGTAAATGTTAAAATTATAGTGTATGATAGTCAAAATACTACTTTGTTTACATTTTGTTACTTTTACGACACAATAATACACATTCAAAACTATCCTTCCTTCAGTTGTTCATAAAATATGATAAAAATCCATTATTAAAGAATTATTAAAAACATGATCGAACATATTATTGATTTTTGAGGCATAATGTGCTCTTAGTTTTGAAAGATAGGGGAAAAAATCAGCGTATTTTGATGAACCAGTCTCATTCTAACATGACAACGACATTTCGTTTACAATTATTCACCGAGACAATACCATAGCCAGGAAAATCATAGCTTTGTAAAAAGCTTGGATTGAGGCAACGATTGACTTAGCAAAATTTGGTGTCTGATTTGAGACACTGTCCCTTTCATAGATACGACCAACAAGCGAAGCTTCCAAAAGTGGTGTCAGGTTTGACTTAAACGTTAAACCTCGTTCATTGAATTTCAAAGCATGGGAAGGTAGCAATTCAAGAGTTCCATTATTGGTGGTAACTACTTGTGGTGTAACATACGGAGTTGAGAAGTTACCTTTGATAGTAATGTTATTGAAATATCCGTTCGCTAAAAAGGTAAAATGATAGCAGTCAGTGACGTTATCAGACCCACATTCTAAAAGAATGCATACCTGCAGGTAGTATGGACGATGAGCACCGTGATGAACCCCGCTGAACACCCCAAATGCATAATTACCTGTAACCTCAACTCGATTGTACGACAAATAACAGCAAAGATCGGCCTGACAAACGGTAACGTTACCAACTTTTGATCTGAGACTTACGAAATTATATTTATCTTTGAAAACTCGACCTTGAAATTCATGTCTTTGAATAAATTGCATATCAGAAGTGTCAAGTGTGACTTTCTTTTTCTCAAACCTTCTGCTATTGTTCATCAAAATAGGAACTTCTTTTACAAGCAGACGACCGTCAGGTGAACTCCGATTATAATAAAACGCTAAGGTCCCCTCTGGTGTATGAATTCCACTGCCCTGAAATCGTCTAGTAGGTTGATGCAAATTCGCTGATAGAAAATTAACATTGTATGCAACAGCAAATGAAGAGTGATAACCAATGGCAGAAAGGAAAGGCAGCGCGTCCATCCATGCAGTTGGAAACACTATATCCGTTACGTTGTATGTTTCTATCAAAGGAATCGCTGGATCATAGAACAAGATATCGAAACAGGTAAAAGTTCCAAAACGTCCAAATTCAGTGTCAAAGTAAATGAATTCTGGAGTAGTAGGTGTATTGAATTGTTTCTCGAAGTACAAGTTCTGCTTGTGATATCTAGCTATGAGTTTTCCATTCCTGTCAAACACTATGTTTGTATTGTACTGATAGTGTCCATTCTTAGGGCAACTGGGGTCGGTCTTTTGGCACGGTTGCTTATCACCGTAGTTAGCCACTAAGTAAATCGAGTTATTCTTAGCGAGGCAGCTTAGAAACGTCTGAATCTTTGTTCTTTCGTATTTCGAAGGCTCAGTACATGGCGTCCAGTCCACTTGAGAAGGATCGGGAATGTACTCTAGATAGTTTTCTATGTCGGAAGGTGACCGAAAAATATAACCATATAGCCCGTCTTCTGGGAACACAATTATATCAACGCCCTGAAAAAAAGAGAGAAATTTTGATATTATTATTAACATAAAAATATCTTACTTATTGGTCAATACGTGTCTGACTAGAATATTAGACTATATGACCAGAAAGAGAGAAATTATTTAGGAACGCTGCGTTTTGTTTATATGACCAAATGTGTAAAATATGTTTTAAAACCGAACCAATACCAGGTGTGAGGTAAAAGTTCAGTTTAATAAAAGCATTTCCTTTCAATCGTTTTGGAATATATAATTGAATAGTTTATTATTATTGAATAAGATTAAACAAAATTGAAGAGGGTCAATGTTGCTATACGAATTAAACGTGTTTCGTTAACAGCAGGAACACATTGGTTTAAAAGTGTAATATTGGATTCAAACGTTTAGAAAAATACGTATCTGAAGTGAAATTTATTACAAATTATGAACCTGTAAACGGTTTTGACTTTTATTTTGGAAAAGGATGATTAATTGAACGAGAAAGGTAAACATTTATTTATGAGAAATCGCACGATTTTCACGTATAACACGTAGTTAGCTGAGCGTTTTCGGTCGACAATAAGAGTGTGTGCTTGTTTCTCTGCATATAACAGTGTGTATTGACAGATAAACATTGCAATAGTATTGCAAAATGACCAAAGATAAGGAAACGGCAACTGGTGCGAGGGCTAGGTCGAAAGTAGTAAAGGGAGTAAAACAATTAGACGGAATTCAGAGGTTGATAATCTTCTCAACCTACTCTGGATAAACATTTAAAATCATATACTGCCTCTGATGACATGCGCTACTTACTAAAGAACATGCAGGACAAGTTGGACAAACTTGCCTCACAGGAATTCATTAAAACGAAATTAAGAGAAATGATAGCAAAATCAATACTTTAAGAAACTTGATGATTAAAACAATCAATAATGAAAGGACCAACAGTGTTAGAGAAGAAGTGAAGCTTTAAGTAACATGCATTTCAAAGCTGGTATCCAATGTTGAAGAAATGAGAAGCCAAATATCAGTTTAAGAGAGGAAATCGGAGGTTATTGAATCTGAGAATGCTAGATTGAGGAGGAGTATTAAAGTAGAATTGGATGTAAAATGTGAAGGCACAAGATATGAGAATCAAATCAGGTGAGATTAAACATAATAATCCTGAACAGTATACTCGTCGAAACAGTCTCCGCTTGTACGGTGTTCAAGAAAATCTAGTCTAGGAAATAGAAAAACGAACTTTTAAGAAGATGATAAAAATCATGAACGATAAACTGAATATTAAAATTAAAAGATCAGATTTATACATAGCCCATAGAATAGGAAACTACCAGAAAGATGGCAATAGGGTTATAATTTGTAAATTTGTACAAATATTGCTGAAGTTAGAGGTGCTGAGGGCTCGCGGAGCTTCAAAGGGCTCCTCTTACGTTATAAGGGAGGATCTTACGCATACTTATGCTAAACTGCTTGAATCTGTCTAAACCTATGATAAAGTTAAAACAGCATTGAGCGATAAAGGTAGCATTCTTGCCCTGCTTAAAAACAATTATATAGAAAGTTTACAGTGAGACAACTTGGCGACATGGAAGCTGTGTAAGTACCAATTTAGTAGTGCAAACAACTAATTACTAGCTTCATCTTATTTGGTGTAATAACTTCAAGGAAAGACAATCAGTAAAGAAAATAAAAATGACTTAAAGATTGTGTAGAATAAAAATCATTATATGTGTTAGACCTGTTATGTGGACACCATGTGTTTTTGCGCCCATGTCATTATTATTGTTATTATTATACTTTGCCTCATAGGTTTTCTATATCAGTCGTTTATGATTGGCAATTGACGGCTATTTTTAATCTCAAGCTCAGGTAGTTGTCAAATCACATCAACGCGATTTGTCACATGACCAAATTCGAACTCGTCTGTCGAGTAACAACAAAACAGATATGGCTGCGCCAACAGGTTCAGAGAAGAGATTTTTCTTATCTTTGAAAAACATAATTAATATGAACTATTTACGATAAGTATTTGTGTTTTTAGAAAGCATTTAGATTTATGTACTAGATATCATTTTCAGCTAAATACAGGGTATAAATGGATAACAAAAATAAGATCGCGGCTACATAAATAGAACTTATTTTTGAAATAGTACATTTATCTATTTAAATTATTATGTAAACTATATATTTATACATTCTTTGAATGATTAAACAGCAAATAAAAATTTCCTAACCAATAAGTTTTTTTAAAAGTGAAGTTTGAGCCATAAATACATCTTGAGACATAAATACATCGTACTAAAACCTCAAATCGCAGTGTAAAGCGAAAATAAGTTTGGGTCTACGAAAATAAGATTATTTACAGCTCAAACTTTCACTTTTTTGGGTTCTGAAATTTTAAACTGCTGTAAAATTATTATATTTAAATTTGTTACCCTTCCAGATTTTTTCCGCCTTTTTGATTGGATATTGATCACCCGAAAGAAATTGATATTACCGAGCCAGACGGATAATATAGTTATTATTATTACACACTAAATTTCCCCGTTGGGTACCCACGCTGTAAACAACATGCGCTATGGCGATGCGCGTACGGTTTGATTTTACGCGATGTAAATTCCGATTTACAAGCACTTTTTAACTGTCAAATGATAAATATTTACCAAAATAAAGTAATGATACATATTCTCATCAGTATTGAAACCTTGTGAAAGCTTGATATTAATTCCAAAAAAGTGTTTTCAACAGTTTACTCCTTTTCTCTTGTTTCCATTCGTTAGGTTAGAAAGAATTACGTCATGTATTTATGTGACATCATGTTCAGGTGAAGGGGTTCCCTAAAGGAAATCTTATTTCGACGTTTCATTTGAAGTAGCAATGATTTGTTTTAAAATCGTCTAACCTTGGCAGGGGAAGGGTAATAAAATTATTATTTTGGTTTTAGAGTGATATATGTGGATATATTACCTGCCAAGATAAAATATCACCCTCGCCTGACGGCTCGGGTGATATAAAATCTTGACAGGTAATATATTCACATATATCACTCCAAAACCAAAATAACATATAATATCATTAACATACTTATTTAAACAGATAAATTCACTATTTCAGAAATAAATATTATTTTCGTAGCCGTGATCTTATTTTTGCAAAGGTAGCTTATATTTCATATTCTATAAAGTAATATGAGGTATTTTCGCGATGTTTAACTTATGCCTAGATTGGCGAAGATGAAAAAAATACCCACGTATTCATGCGCTTTTTCTGTAGTTGCAGATATTAAAATAACGTTATATGACTTTTGTTTACATGAGCGCGATTCTTTGTGGTGCATTTGCAACAATTTCAGAGACGGTATGTAGGGCCCTGGTGAATTATTTTGACAGTTCGAGTGGTCAATCTTACAGATCAAAGTCCATTAGGGACGGTATATAAGTATGTGCTTGTGAGTATCAATTCTTAAAAATTATTAATGTGCCTTCACACTCAATACATGACTAATAAGATATCTATTGTTAGCATGAATGTTCAGGGAATGGCTGACAGTGCAAAACATAAAAAAGATTTTATAAATTATCTGAAGAGAAAACAATATTCAATTAGTTTAGAACAAGACACGCACTTTTCCACTAAGGAAGAAAAATATATACGCTCTTCGTGGGGATATGAAACCTATTTTCCAAATTTTAATAGTCAATCACGTGGTGTTGCAATTTTTATTATTAATAATAATGATTATAAGCTGATCAGTACTGAAAAAGATATTGAAGGAAATTTACTTATACTTAATTGTAGTATTTGTCACAAAAATAAAACTCTTGTTAATATTTATGGTCCAAATAGGGACACTCCAAATTCCAATAACTATGTCTCAGAAAAAATGTCAAAATTTGAAGACTCCATATTTATTCTTTCCGGAGACTTTAATTTGATTTTAAATCCTGATGCTGATTCTTTTAATTATTTCCACTTGAGTAACCCTAATACACGTGACAAAGTTCTTTCTTTAATAGCAAAGTATAACTTAATGGATTGTTGGGGGAAAATAATATGGATAAAAGGGAATACATTTGGTTTAGAAGAAATCCTATTAAAAAAGGCACGCCTTCATTTTTTTTTTTAATTTCACACTATCTTTATACTGATCTTGACAATTTTAAGATTTATCTGGTTTCCGAACATATCATTCTTTAATTTTTCATGTCATTAGAAAGGTAATTCATATTAGAAATTTAACAATACACTCATAAACACTTTCAATATGATCTACGTAAATAACCGAGGAATATCGTGAAAAATACGAGCTTCCGCTTTTGCTAAAACAATACAAAGTAAGCCGTTTTTAAACCGCTAGTTTGTTGTGATTAAATGTCCGATTTTAAAATGTATTACACTAATAGAAAGCTTTGGATCTACGCTTTGACACAGTATAAACTTCAACACATCTTTTGACTTTAAAGTATTTAAATTAACTGTTGATCATACCATATGTCAGACCATTTTACATACGATTTATACAGTGAGATACGCAACTCGAAATACTACTGATAAGAATAGCCTGTCGTCTGCTAGTTCTAAGTGTTTATCGGTGTATTCCCTTCTTCGAGATGATATTTATGTATTTAAAGTAAAAACGGTTATTTTAGATACAAAAACCCAATATGCAACAAATATACTAGAAATAATACTATTGATATTTCTCGATCAGATTTGAGATTTAATATTAATGACCAATTATTTTTGAGGCATTATTAATGATTATTAGAGGATTGACTATAAGCTATTCCTCACATCAGAAAAATAGTGTAGATAAAGAAAAAAGTCTCACTAAAGAAATAGAAAAAAATGAAAAAGAACAAATTATTAATTATGAATTGCTGGACGCCAAAAAGATCAGAGCTTTTAAATTTGACAGAAAAAAAGAAAATGGAAGGTAATTTAAGAATGTTCGTGAAGTTGGCAGCCTAGCAGCCTAGCAGCCCAGCAGCCTGAAGTTGGCAGCCTAGCAGCCTGGCAGCCTAGCA